TCTTTCCCTCATCCTGTTAAAGGGTAAGCCCCATCAGGAAAGAGACCAGTTCAATTCTGTTTACCTCTGATCTTCCTGCTCTTGAAAGGACACATAAAAGGCACCCAAAATACATTAGGTGTGAGGTGGTGTCCAGGAAAGGAACACGGGACTTGCCAAGATATGCTACTATAAATACATGCTGCGACACGGTACATGGGTGTGAGAACGGCAGAAGATGCCAACACGTCCTAGCAATTGAGACTCTTCTGATTTCTTTGATTTGCTCAAAAATTACGTTCTATACTCTATATTATAAATTTACTATTTTATTCTAATATCCTCTTAAAAAAAAAAAAACCTACTCCCAGAGACTATGAACTCCCACCCATCCATCTTCCGTTCCTGTCAGAGCGATCTAAGATACCAGTGACCGTGCTACTTCCCTACTCAAGATCCCACAACAGTTTCCATCACCTCTACCTACAATTTGAACCCAGAGAGTTGGGATGAGAGTCTGAAGAATTCTGTAACCATCCAGATGACAGATGAGGAAGTCTTGAACCAAAGCAGTGAAGGAGGAGAAGCGGCAGATGTTCGAGACATTCTGGAACAAAGAGAACTTTCTTTCTGCATGGTCAACATAACCACAGCTTCCTTAGAGTATTTTGGCAAAGAAAAGAAAAGCTAGAGTTGTGAAAATGTAGATAGTTTCTATAAAATGCTTATGAGTAGTTAAGAAACTTCCTAAGATTTTAAAACCAAACCTTTGTTTTAGTAGAGAACTACAGACTTTATCCATAAAGCTGCTATTGGAAAGAAAACCAAGAGTGAACGAACACATAAATAATGTATTCCTGACTGTTGGTAACAACTAAGAATGTAGGTTTCAGAGCCCAGTCTCCAGATCTACTAATCTAAATTTATAGCAACCAGGCTTAAAAATCTATACTATTTACAAATGTTTCCAGAGATCCCTATGTTCGAATTTAAGAACCACTGAACTGGAGATCATCTATCTGCAGCAGGCAGGCACTGGAAGAGACACTGTGAAGTGTATGGAGCCCTAGGAAACACCCGAGCTCAATCGAGTTAAGAAAAGTGTGTTTCCTTATGACTGGAAGGTGAAGTCTGTAACCGGCCTCACTGTAACCCGACTGCCTGAAGTACTGGTGAAACTCAAGGTCTGCAGGCAGCATGTCAGAGAACTGCACAGCAAGATGTGTAATGTTTACCCAGTAAAGACCGACGAGATAGGAGGACTTTTATCAAACTGGGTAGAATCACCCACAGCGGTGGGACAGAAAGACTTGCCACGTTTCTGTAGCATAAGACCCATCTATATATTAATAGCTCCCTCAGCTCTAATTATAAGCTCCTAAAGGACTGTTCTGTTAATGAA